TGTGGAAGAAGGGGGGACGCTGCAGAGAGTGTGACTTCCAGTGTGGAAGAAGGGGGGACGCTGCAGAGAGTGTGACTTCCAGTGTGGAAGGGGGATGCTGCAGAAAGTGTGACTTCCAGTGTGGAAGGGGGATGCTGCAGAAAGTGTGACTTCCAGCTGGTATCTTGGGGCTTGCCTTGCCGACACCTCGGATTTCCCCACTAGCCTGCAGTTCCGCTAGTGAACTCTGCCCGTCCTTACTGCACTGCCACCCTTCCTGTGCCTGCCCGATGGTCCCCTCAGGCCCTTCTCCTCCTGCCCTCTGCCCACCGTTGCTTGGGTGAGAGGACGCAATAGCCTCCTGGGTGACAGACCTCCCCTGCCAACCTCGTCCTGCCTTGATGCCAAGTACTCTGTGTGCTACCTCATTAAGACACCTGTCCTCTTGCCCGAGTTCTGGTGCCTGAGCAAGGCACTCAGCGGACTGCTCGTGTGGCCCAGTCCTGTCCCCCATCACAGCCCCCTCTCTCGGGTGGTGCCCTTCCCACCTGGGTTCTCTGTATTCTCTCCGTATCTGCTTGTCCATCAGGTTGCCCTGTGGCCAGTCATCTTTCCTGCTCCTCACTCTGGTTCTTGCTATCTCTCCCCTGATGCCTTTGCTCTTGGTTTGGAAGCTTTCAGCACATTGTTTGGGAGGCTCTGCTCCACCCCCACCCCCACAAGTGTGAGAACCCTGTGGATGAAGCTCTGCTCTTGAGTCTCTGTACTGTTTTTTAAGTGCCTGGCGCTTGGGTGCCGAGCCCCATGTGATGAGGTGTGTCTCTGTCAGCTGCAGACGTCTGCTCTCTGTGTCTGTGTGTAGGGCACTGGTGGATTGTGACTACTGCAACCATCAGCTCAGTGTGAGATCAGGGTCCCAGGCGGGCACTTGGGGCATAACAGTATTAGATGTCCTCTCCCTCATTCTTGGAGGAACCGATCACCAACAGATACTGATTCTTGAGTTCCTTCTGCTTCTGTCCACATGACCACAGAGCCTGAAGTCACAGATGAGAGTAGATGGAAGACAGCCTTGGCTCACAAATGCACTGACCAGGATGTGGCTTCTCCTGAAGCTTTTTCCTCCAGCACTGCCCCAGTCCCTGGACTAGCCGTCTTATCCCTGCATCCTCTCATGGGAGCCCCACAGACTCACAGAGAAACACATATTTAAAGTGTGTACTTCATCTGTTCAAAACAACTTAGTGAATATTTAAAGCATGGTCTCACAGTGTAGCCCAGGCTGGCTTCAAACTTGAGACAGTCCTCCTGATTTGGGCTCCTGAGTGCTGGGGTTACAGCTGTGCCCACAGTGGGTTACTTAATGAATTTGGCTTTGATAAATCCATGTGCCCATGTCCCTTGCTTCAGCTGGAAGGCAACCTCAGCCTCTTGAGCTGGAACCCGTTTCAGGTTCTTTGGACACCTGTTGGTTTGTGTGGTTTGTGGTCCCACAGGAGAGTCACTGCGTACATGTTCCTTCACTTCGCTGGAGTTTGTGAGACTGCCAGTGCTTCTGCTCATTCAGTCACTTTCTCTTCCCTGTGTGAATATGCCACACTCTGCCAGTCTCCTGCAGACGCCATCTGCAGTGGCCCTCAATCAGTGCTAGCACTTTCTCTTGGCCGCTCTGCCCCCCTTTTTAGCAGTGCCTGGTGCTATAATTGCCCCCCTCAGTCACACTCTGCCCATCCTGTGGCTCCTCCTCCATGGCTAGTGAGAATAGGCTACTGCTGGACATACACACCAGCCAGGTGTGGCCCCTCCCTCCTATCCCTGGATCCATCCTTCCTTCCTTCCTTCCTTCCTTCCTTCCTTCCTCCCTCCCTCCCTCCCTCCCTCCCTCCCTCCCTCCCT